CTCTCTCTCTCTCTCTCCTCTCTCTCCCTGCTTGTGGATCAGGATGTAGCTCTCAGCTACTGCTCCAGCACCCGCCTGTACACCACCATGATCCCCACCATGATGATAATGAACTAATCTCTGAAACTGTAAGAGAGCCCCCAATTAAATGCTTTCTTTTATAAGAGTTGCCTTGGTCATGGTGTCTCTTCGCAGCAACAGAACAGTGAATAAGACAGACTTGTCTGTCACGCTGTTTACTGGAGGTGCAGACCTCTTGACAAAGCATATCACACATAACGAAGGCTGACCTTAACTCTCCATCTAATGTATGATTTCATTTCTTCCCATTTAAAGCCGGCTGCATCTGGAATACCAGTGAGGCAGCGAGCCTGTCCGGCCTTCTACGAGAAAGGCTTACTGAAGTGTTCATTAGGAGGCGAGAAAGGGAGTGGAGGGAAGCAGTGTGCCTGCTGAGGAAAAGTCCAAAGGCCCTGAATTCCTTGCAGACTAGAAACGGTCTCCATCGAAGGCCAGATCCAGGCACCTTCCTCTCCTTCTCTAACATTACCATGATCATCACCCAGGAGGCAGGGTGAGGTACTCCGCCCATCCTGACCCTGTGTTGATTGAAGATATCATAATCGAGGGTGGGGGCGGGAGGATGAGGAAGAAGCTAGAGAAGGGGCAAAAAGAGGTGTGATGCTTTGTAAGGTTCTTTGTTCAGGATTATCTCCTGACCAGAGAGTCCTGGTGCCCAACCGAAATTGGCACCCCTGTAAGGTCCATAAATCAGAGTCACCCCCATTTAGAAGCAGCAGTCATCTATAGGAGGGACGCCAAATGTGTCCCCTTACCTGCTCAAGAAACACAGCTATTACATACAGACCAAAAGGTTTCTCCAGTCCTCAGAAGCCTCCTCTTCCTGCTTAGATGTTCTGTTGCTGGCCGTATCCTAGCAACTGGCAGCTTCCTCCGCCAGGGCACCGCCCCCGCGCAGTTGCAAAGGAATCCGTCAGCCAGCGAGAGCAAGAGGGGAGAAGACAGAAGTGAGGATTGTTAGCTGCCAGGAACCAGACCTTAAGATGATTCCAAGTTAACCTCTCTCCTCCGGGAGCTCTTACACTTTTGAAAAGGCAGTCTGTAACAGTCTAAACTCACAGATGATTTTCTTTAAAAATGCAAATATGAACACTGAGAGACAGAGATGATAAAAGAATACAAGATCACAACAGTGACTGTCTACTTTTGTCCAATTTCGACCCTTGCTGTAGCTTCCTGGCAGCCAGAGAGAACAGGAAAAGGAGAACTATTAAATACTCCTCTCTTTATAAGTCAAGAAAAGCAAAGCTCTTGTTTTGGTTTGGTTTTCTATCATCAAATTCTTTAAAGTTTTAAAATCACAGTTTTGGAGAAAAGGTCAAATACGTTCCTGCACAGATTTCATGTGGTTATCTTGTAATAGCAGCTAACGCTTAGTAAGTAGTGTCATTAAGCTCCATATCTGTGTTTTGAATAGTCAGTGCGATGATTCTATTGAGGGACTGCTATTAGCAATGCTGCACTACTGGAAGCTCCATATCTGTATTTTGAATAGTCAGTGCAATGATTCTATGGAGGAACTGCTATTAGCAATGCTGTACTACTGAGAAAATACACAAAGTTTTGATGAGAGAGCCAGGATTAAACCCAGCCCAGATTTTAAACCCCTACGATGTACTGCTGTGTTCAACATCCTCTGATGTTTAAAGAGATGAATAAAACTAAAAACTTGTTATACAGTCCACTCCCTCATTCACACTAGTCACTGTCTTCATCTGTATACCTTGTTGCTACAATTCCATTCATCTCTCCACTAACACTCACTTTCCCACCCCTTCACTAAGGTTTATCATCCCTTGTCCTCCTGGTAGGGGCGGTAATTAAAGCACCATGGTTAGGAATAGAGGTCAGAAATGGGGCAAAAAGCAGGCAGCAGAAAGGTTCATGTCCTTACCGCTAAATTGTACAACAGGCTTTCTTAGAGCGTACTTTTTTTTTTTAGATGGTCTATGTAGCTTGAATAGCTTACTAATTCATCAAGAGAACACACTCACTTTCTCTCTCACAAACACATAAAGGTGTATGGCTATGTGTCAATGTCCCCTGAATGAAAATGGTGATAGAAAAATAGTACTAATTACAAAATGAAAACAGTGCCATACCAAAGCTTTTGATTTACTTTTCATCCTAAATCTATGCACTTGCTTAGATCTTGTTGTTCAAAATGCCTCATCTACCTTCAGTCACCTTGGCATTTATGTATAATCTTTCTTTTAATGTGCTCCCACTTTTACAAAGATGCCATCTAGTGGCCTTATGAAATCAAGCATTTCAAAGTAACTCCATATGGAAATGCATGTTGATAAAAATGGCTAAGTAGGAAAAAATATTAGAATAATTATTTACAACACTAAGGACCTGAAAATTGTTTTGGAAATCATCTCTGGATTAAATTTGCATCATTTGTGAACTTGTGAAGGCCAAAAATTTCCTGAAATTTTTGAAGTACATTAGCTATGTCTGAGATTCAACATTTCACTGAATTTTGGAAGGTGAATGTGGGTACATACATAGTATTAAGCAATACATCTTCAGGCCCAAATCAAATACATCAATACTTCTGTGACAAAGATGCTTCTTCATATTAAAATGGGATATAAACCAGAAACAGCCTTGTATGGACTTAGGTTTGTTTTATTTACAAATGAGCTATGGGAAAACATTCTATTCCATTGATTTTTAAAACTTAAAAGATTTGTGGGCCTGTTGTACCCCGAAGAAAATGAACCCATGCTCAAGAGAGTAAAATGGGACATTCTGTAACAAGGCAGTATGTTTATCTCTAAGGAACATATAAGATCCACACCAAAACAAACAAACAAACAAAAACTGAGAATCATGAAATCCAGTAATATATCTTACAATTTAGTCATAAAAAAACAGAAATTAATATATCATCAATTACATTTAGATATGCCACCAAAATAATAGATTATGCTACTGTGAAACTACAAAGACTGCTTTGAAAATTAACTAGCAGTGTGGCGAACACAATTTGTGAGTTCTATGGCACTTTCCAAACATACTTTGTCTTTATTCATGTGATTTGCTATGTTCCAATTCCTCACAGCCACGTTCATGGAAGAATGTTCTGGTAGCATCAGCTTAGTCTGTGTCCCTCCCGGGTAGAACTCTTAGGAGCACTTTTGTCGAGTCTCCTTGTACTATGAATAAACAAGGACTTCACACTAAGTACCTGGGAGAAGAGCAGTCTGTAGAGTGCTTGATTTGTGAGACCTTAAATTTGACTCCCAGAAGCCACGTTTACAGAAAAGAAGTCAGGGTTGATGGCACATGCTTGTAATTCCAATGCTGGGGGAACCTTTCCAGATCAGTGAGATATTCTGTCCAAAAAAGCAGTAAAATAATTTTTTTTTTAAAGAATAAGGTGAACGGTACCTAGGGAACAACACACCCCAAGTTGTCATATGGCTCTCAAGCACACATACGTGTGAACACACAGACTGTGCTAAGTCAGTTCTTTGCACTACTTCATTTCACTAACCAGTTTTAGTTGACGCCCTCCAAAGAGACTTTCAAATACATTATCAATCTGAATGTACAAATTAGGACCTCACTAAACAAGTTTTGATGGAAAACTGAAGTTACTGAACATAAAAAAAAAAAAAAACCTGTGATATTCAGCAATTGGGCATTTATCATTATGGCCCACCACGTGCTTCTATAGGGACATAACTTGTATAACCAGAGGCTCCAAGAAAAAGCAGCTGATACCAGCTTTTACATGAGAATTGCCCCACAGATTTTGACTTTTGTCATTTTGAAGACACTCAGACTCACTCTACTCTTTCTTAAGAAAGGGAGAAAGCAAAAGACAAGTTTTTTCTTCTAACCTGCAAATCTGAGTGAAAGGTGAGGGGAGAATGGGGCTGGAAAGAAACAATGAAAAATGCCTCTTGGTGGCATCCCAGTAAGTGGCAGCCCCCAGAGCTTACTCTGCTAGAGTACCATATGCTGTTTCCAGGATAGTCCTTGAATATACCGGTCATCCTTATCAAATCATTATACACCCATTCACAATCATTCCAAGCTTAATACGTCTTTGGTTATGTTAGGTAGAAGCCATTTTCCCTCAAAAACAAAGACTGCCCAGTAACTGAAATATTCGGCATTAAGTCCAGATGTGAAAGCAAGGGCAGGGGATACCAAGCTTGAAGATCAGTTTCTTGTCTGCACAGCTAAATGTGATTGGCTTCTCTTTGGAAGCACCTGGAATATGGTAAGAATTTAAATATGAGTTATCGGAAAGCTATTGAGAAAACTGAAACAAGCCATTGTAAAAACTATTCAAACTAGTCCAGAAGACATTCAGCAATGGTAAAAGTCTCAGACAAACAGAACCATCTGTGAAATCAGGACACTTAACCTGGATGTTTGTAAAATGAGTAAAGAACTGAAGGACTGAAAACAAGTGTAAGGTTGTGTGGGCCATTAGAATGGTAACAAGTGCAAAGGGTAGATTAAGACACAGAATCTTGCAGACAACTACTCCTATTATAATTGTCTACGCCCAACATAAAGATCTTGGCACACAATTTCCAGTGACTGCTTCAGCTCTGGTACTTTGACAGACAAGTAATGGAAAGAGGATCTTGGTACATTTGGAACATACCAAGGCTGGGTGATTATTGTATCCAAGTGTATTAGTAAAGAGCAACATAACTGAGCCTGCCAGGAGTATGAGTTCTAGAGACACGCTGCTTATGTCACCCTAAAGGTTAGTATCCTCATGACCTCAGTTCCTCCAGCACATCTTATTTTACAGGGTCACATCACTCAGGTGGCTTCTGATTTCTTACCAGCAGTAGAGATAAACTACAGCATCCCACTCTCAAGAGTGGCGGGATTTAGTTAAGTACTGAGAAGAGTGACTGGTATTCATGTTCAAGAGTCAGAGACTATTACTATCATATTTACACATTAGCTACCAGCAATTCCTATGCAAACACCAATGAAGTCCCCTCCACTACACAAAGCTATAGTAGCACTGTTGGTGAAATGTCCAAGATGCTCAAACACGACAGGAGAAATTTGGTGAGGAACGACAAAGGCACAGTAAGCTCATTGTGTGACCTCAGAAAAGAGAAACAGAAAGCCAGTGTGAAAGGATTCCCAGGACCCCGTTATCATGCAGTGTTGTCTCCTAAGTATGTCTCGGTAGTAGGACACACACACTACTTTTCTATAATTAAGATGTCATAACACGGACACAGTTTAGCATAACAGAGCATTTAATTGCACATTTCATTCGCATCAACCATCAGACACAGTGATCATATCGGCCACTTCCACTGGTTGGCAGGAGGCTCTTCCAACAGTGGCTCCCATGGCTTCCACTGCAGCATTTTCCTTGCCAGACTCAGCTCATTTTCAGCCTATTATAAAAGGAAATTTGAAAATAAGATTATTTGATTGATTATTCAAGAGGTATTATCAGAGTAACACCTGGAAGTTAACTACTAGAACTCAGATTTTCACAATCAGGATTCTAAATCATGAGGTATTCTACCATCAAAGGTTAAGTATTACAAAATTCAAGCTTCAGAGCCACACAGTCACCACCAAGAAAGGTCACCTCTGACTCTTGAGAATGAAATCTGCAGGAGTTAGTGTTCACAAGCTGTTAGAGACATAAAGCCCACCCTTCATCACCAACAGTGGCTTTCAAACTTCACCCACGTTCTCACTTAGCCATCAGCTGGAAGTCAAGACCAGCACGAGATGCCCAAACACTAAATGTTCAATGTTTCTTTACCTGAAGAATCACCTCTTCTACTTTACCACCTTGAAGCAAGTTTTCTAATTTTTTAACATCTGGTTCCTACAGTTTTAAGGAGAAAGGAAAAAGAAAATTATACATAGAAGCATATCTGAATATTTTAATATCCTACATATTATAAAGCCACATATAAAAGCTCTTCCAAGCCGGGCGGTGGTGGCGCACGCCTTTAGTCCCAGCACTCGGGAGGCAGAGGCAGGAGGATCTCTGAGTTCGAGGCCAGCCTGGTCTACCAAGTGAGTTCCAGGAAAGGCGCAAAGCTACACAGAGAAACCCTGTCTTGAAAAGCCAAAAAAAAAAAAAAAAAAAAAGCAGTTTTTCTCTCACCATGCTCTTATTTTTTTCAACCAAAATTTTGATTTTTGGAAATCCATTTTATTCTCTACTATTTGATTACTTCTGTCTTAATATTAAAAACTATTAAATATTGACATACTTAGCAAAAGTAAGACATATGATACATTATTTAGTCTTTCTAAAATAAATTTTCAAATATTTTATTTTTGTAAATATTTTCTATACCACCAGTAAAAGAATTAAACAATAAAATGTTATGAGAAAAAAACTCCTTTGCTAGGTCTATACCAAACAATGCATAATAAATAAATTATATATTCAAAAATGTCACAAATACCACAAATTACAGCCCCACAATAGAAATGACCTAAATGACCACCACCAATGGAACCGATCCATCAATTATGGTACTGAGATATAACAGAATACTATATGGCAATGGTACAGGACAAATTATAATTATATGTAGCAACCCAGATGATTCCCTCAAATATACTATTGAGTATGAAAAAACAGACATGAATGGGTGTATGAAAATCATTCCATTCCTACAGAGTTTAGAAACAGGCAAAATGAATCTATTAAAAATCAAAATAGTAGCTATCAATTGGAGGGTAGTAACTTGGAGTAAATGATTTGGTGACATAGAAGGTCACTTTTTTGTATGATATTAATCAGAATGTGTTAATTCTGAAGATCCATCAAGCCCTACACTTACAATTTCTATATATTTTTTATGTACATTATTCTTTAAGAAAATTGATACTATGGTACCTAGACTATCTAAGGAAACCCTTTTCTAATAGACTAAACTGTTTAGTCATTATCCCGGTGGGTTTTGTCCCATGAATTGAAATGAAAAGAGCGTTAATGATAGCAACTTTGTACTTTTGATGGTATGGGAAAGCAGAACCAGGCCCTCGCACATGTGAGGCCCTGAGCTACATGCCCAGGAACACCTAGATCTTGGAGCAGACATATTCAAACCAGATAGACAAGGTAAGGAGCATTCAAGAGAGAAAATAAAGTGACCCCAAAAATAAAGCTGCATGGACTCAACAGAACTGCCAACCAGCCTGAAGCTGCTAAAGTGTAAGTCCTAACAGGAAATGACAGGGTGGATTAAGATAAACAAAAGCTAGATCTCAGCAGACCTTACGAACCAAGCCAAAATCAACCTGCAACCAGGACTCTACCTCTAAATCCATCAGTTAAAGCTTGGCTTCATATACCCAGCTCATGATGAAGCTCAGCCTTTCAGACACACAACACAGAAAACCACAGGATGATTTTTCAAGAGGAGAAATATGTTAGATTTACATACTGAGAATGCATTCTTTATAAGCAATATGAGACACAAAGTCAGTAAGATGGGACTACAATTAAATAATTGGTTTGGAGGCAGCTGAAATAGCAGAGCAAAGGTTTCAGGTCCCTAAGTGAAGAGGTGACGGCAGCAAACTCTGACATTGACTGGGAAATGATATAAAGACACAGTAAGGGAAAACAAATACTGAGATATATTTTTTCTTGTAAGATGGGAACCAGCCAAGGATCTCAGAGTACTGAAAGCAGTGACAAAGTGGAAGAGGGGAACAAGAGGACAGACAGGATAAACAAACAAAGGTCACTGAGAGGGAAAACTGAGGAAGAACCAAAGGCACGGTGGAACAGTTCACCTCTGAGAAGCAGGGACATTCTCATTCTGTGAGGGAAAAAGACATCAGTTCATGTGCCTCAAACAAATCAAGCTGCCATTAACCTCCTTCAAAGACTGAGTTTGTAAGTTACTTCCAGACTTAGCAAGCTAAGGATCAGTTAAAACTCAGATGCTGTTTAACTATAAGAAAGAGGTCTCTTTGACTGGCATTTTGATAAACTAATAATACATATGCTGTTATCACTTGTGCCCAGATGAACAGTTTTTGAACTCCACCAAGTCTGTGAAGTAACCATGAGGGTGAAAACTCAGCCACAGTTTGATGTTCTAGGAAAGTGGCAGTTCTCTCACGGTCTCCCGCCCAGCACTGTGATTTAAAGCTGTGGAAGGCTCCATTTGGTTGGCCACTATAACAAAATACATAGACCGATTGAATCAAACATTAGAAATTTCCGGTGGGCCTCATGATACAGATGTGTGACTTCACCTATTCTGGGTACTGAGGCAGGAGGACGGCAAATTCTAGGCATGCCTGAGTCATATACAGAGCTAAGTTCAAGTCCATCCTTGGCAGTTTAGTGAAACCCTGTGTCAACACACTAAGAAAAAGGAAGGGGTTGGGATACATACGGTATGCTTGCTTTACTTGTGTGAGGACCTAGGTTCAATCCCTAGCACCATTAAGCACACAAAAACCCAGACTTTTCTTGTAGTTGTAGAGAGCAGATGTCCAAAGTCAAGGTGACAATATAATTGGGTCTAGTGAGGGTTTGTTTCTCCCTGAAGTCACAGACAGCTGGCACTTTGCTATGCGCTCCTACATCCTTCACTCGCTGGGCTCATGGGCAAGGGGCAAGACCTGACTGTCTGGTGTCTATTTCTATATGTATCCTAGTCCTTACAGCATCAAGGTCCCAGCCTTGTGAGTTTATTTAACTTCAATTATTTCCAGTGATGATTTATTTCTAAATAAAGTAATACTACATATTATAACTGTGGCATACAGATTTCTGGGAACAAAGTATTCAGTTCCAGTATTAACACTCTTCAGTGGAGCTTTTGAGTAGGTAAGAAAACCAAGTGTGGCCCTCTTCTTGTACAGCAAAGCCGTTGAACCTAGGGCTCATACATGCTAAGAGCTCTAACACTGAGCCATACTTCCAGCTTTTTATTTTGAAACAAAGTCTCATAAAGTTCCCCAGGCTGGCTCTAAGCTTCCTCTGTAGGCCAAGGTGACATGAATTTGTGATCTTCATGACAGGCCTGCATGACCAAGGACAACTACTTTCTAAAATAATTACTCTGACAGCTTTCTGTAACCTCACCACGACACAACTCTCTTGTGCTTTTGTTCTTCTCTACTCTGACTGGAAATCAAGATGGATGCTTCCACAGCAAGAGGAGGAGAGGTACAAAGGACACCTGCAATGTCACCTCAGGACATGGATCCAGTTTTATTCCTGTCCTCTACAGTGCTTCACACACAGAAACCAGTCAAAATACGGGTTTGCTGAATGCAAAGGAGAAAAGATGGCAGAATAGCACTGAAGGAAGGAGAGGACACATTAAGAGCTAAATAAGCAACTGAAAATATTCCTGAAATGTCTTTCTGGATGTACAAACCCAACCCAAACAAACTCACTTAGCTACTTACCGCTTTGACCATATCCAGCTTCTCAATGGTGATCTGTTCTGTGTATTTTCTGTAGGCTACATGTTTAGGGAACTGCTTCATAATATCAAGAATCTTTGTATACAATATTGTTAGCCTCTGAAAAGACAAACCATACACATTTCAGTAAGTTAAAATACCACCAGATTATAGAGAACATAGGTTAAGTATCTCACAGGAAAAACTAAAAGAGGATTCACAATTATAAACTGTGCTTTACTAAAATTCATATCTATGCTCAATCTCACTCTTGACAACCTAAGGAAAAGTGGAATACAAACATGGAAATTCTTCCTAGCTGTGATACATTTAAAAATTGTGTGCACATATATCAAAAGCATAGTAATAAGCTAAATTAAAACTACCTTGTAGCTAATGGCCTTCTTTGGAAATCAAATCTTTATTAAGGCAGAATTCCTCATCTTGAGGTAATGGGTACTACAAATGGTACAGAGCACATCAGAGATGCCAGGACTATGGCAAGACCACCAAGGACAGCAGCAGACTTGGAAGGAGCAGCCCGAGCCTCCCAGACAAGCTGTTTGTACTGTGGATGGCAGAGCCTGAGGAGTGGGTCTACTCCAAGCTCTCTGGCGCCCAGAAGATCCTAAGTACATTCCAGATGTCAGACCCTAAGCTATTTACACTGTGGGGTTTTAGTTTTGCTTTGATGTGGTTTCTAACTGTACTCTGTTCTTTCCTCTTGGAATGAGGAAGTATGGAACTTGTTTATGACCTTACAGGAACCTATAATTAGGAGACTTTGGATAACATGTGTATGTGGTATACATACATCTGTATGCATGTTTGCATGTGTAAGCATATAGGTGTTTATGGATGTGTAGGTGTACCCTGAGTGTGTGGAGAACTCACTTTGATGCTGGGAATCTACTTCCATCTCTTTCCACTTTATTTATTGAGGTGGGGTCTCCTGATTGAACCCAGAGCTCATGAACAGGACTGGATTAGCTGGAGCTTCCTCAGGGGATCCTTCCTCTGTCTTCTGAATGCTGCCACACCCACACAGCATTTAAGTGGCTGCTAGGGATCTAAACTCGGTACATGGAATTTTTTAAAGAAATTTGAAAGGTTGTGATCTGATTTAAACTCTTAATTTTGGCATCCTTTAAAATCTTATCCTCTCAAATTTATGAATATAGTGCATATATTCATTTGTATACAGTATTTTAATAAATTTCAATCTGATTAAAATTTTGAGTTTTTTTTTAAAAAAAAAAAAAAGATTGGGGTGGGTGCAGTGATGAGATGGCTCAGTGTCTAAGAGCACTGGCTGCCCTTCTAGAGGACATGGGTTCTATTCCCAGCATCCACACAGCAGTTTACAACCATCTGTGACCCTAGTCCTAAGGGATGTGACACCCTCTTCACTGGTATCCAGCACACAAGTGTACACCGACATACATGCAATCAAAACATGAGTATCAAATAAACTAAAAACAAATTTTTATTCATCTTTTGGGATAAAAAAGAATGCATCTAGTCTTACAGAAATTCAGATGAGAATAAGAATGATCAGCATAGGACAATGCAAAGAAAAAAGTGTCTATCTACTTTATCAAAACTGGGACACTTCGCACAGTGAAAGCAGATTCTGACATCATTATGTCATCATTATGTACATATTATGTACAAAACACAGATGTAAACCAGAGCAGTCCTCTCAAACAAGATCCATGCAGACCTCCACCTGAGCATTTCCGTAATCACAAGCAATCAACACTTCTTAACAACGGTTTTCTTTTCTCAGTAAGAATGGATTTTTCCAGTGTTGCCATGTAAAGTACCATGTGCTGTTTGGATATACAGACAGATTGGACATGGATCAAATGCTTTCTATATAGAAGAGACTGGTTAAAAACAACAACAACAACAACAAGAGGAGAACATGATAAACACCATAAAACACAAAATCCATTTAAGGCAGGCTGTGGTAAGATACAGAGCAGAGAGGTAGTACTAAACAACACTAAGAACTGATTACCTACATTCACAGAGCTCCACTGCCTAGTTGCCTGGACAAGCTGCTTCTATCTAGATGCCCTCATTCCTTATCCTAAAATGTAGAGAATGTATAGGATGTAAGATCAGAACAGTACCAGCCACAGAGTGTCTCCATCTCAATATTAGCATCCTAGAAAGGAAGAAAGCAGAGGGGTTCATAAAAAAAAGGATGCATCTGAGCCACCTTAGAGGGAGAAAGGGAGTTGAAAACTCGAAGGTGTTGGAAGAAGCAATTTACATGCAAAGGAACACAGGACTAGGTGGCAAAACCACCAAAACCACGAAGGAAGTGGATAGAACTCACAGCTATGCCGTGCAGTAAGCAGCTGCTCATCCATTACAGCTGTGGAGTACGTGACATGCACCTCACTCAGACGGAGATATGGTGTAAGAAGAACAGACCGGAAAAGAGGCTGCAGACCAGGATTAATGTTCATATTGATTCTATACTAAAATGACAGTGTATCAGATGTTACATTAAATCTTAAAAAATATTTTAAACAAACAAACAAAAACCTTCTTTTCCCATTGAAACAACGGCTTACTGTATAGCTCAGGCTACCCTCAAACTGAAGATCCTCTTGTCTTAGTCTCCCAAGTGCTGCGATGACAATCATATACCACTTTTAGTTTTTTTATATTAAAAAAATTTCTAATGTAATTTCTAGAAAACTTAAAATTACATTAAGATAGCCTACACGTTTGGTGCTCACATTTATTTGGGTAGCACCAGACTAGAAATGAGTATGCCAAAGAAACACCGAGGAGATAAGGTAGGAGGAAGAGTTAGACTGCATGTAGTTCTACATACCAAGTGAAAGAACTTGGGCCTCTTTGTGTTGGGAACTAAAAGACATAAGAAAAAGGTGCGGTTAAGTCAGGTTTTAGGAAAATTAACCTGGCTGTCATGAGTTAAAGAAAGAAACAAATCAAGGCCAGTAATAGAGCTATTGCAAACGTTTAAACAAGAACAAGGGCTTAAGCTGTACTGATAACTAAAGGAAGATGAAGGAGGTCAAACGAGACTGTTAGAGAAAAAACTCGGCACAATTCATTATTGGAATAAATATGAACGTAGAAGATTCTAATATCAACGACAACATTCGAACTCTGAGTTGGGGCCCACCAAGAGAAATACAATCCATAGAGGAAAGATTTTAGAAACAGAAAACCGAGACTTCTGTCCCCACAGCAAGTCTGAAGTACAAATGCACAAGAATGCAAGAGAGTCATTCACTATGCACTGACTACATACCATGTACTAGTCAGAGTTCTAGCAGTGAACACATAATAAAATCTTATCTTTGTGAAGCCTGGGACAGACAAGATACAGCAGCAGACTGTGGTCTGTTACACAGTGATCTGGAGAATCCCTAAAAGGGCCCTAAAATTGAGAAGGTTTTAAAGAAAGAAGTGGCATGACACGATACATTTTAGCACTTGCAAATCAGCTGAAAAAAAAAAAGTCGGGAATAGCAGTTACCAAAGTAATGAAATTATCACAGGAGTAAGGAGAGTGACAGAAAAGTGGTTCTAGCCAAGGAGGTGGTAAGGCGCATACAAAATCTGGATATATTCTGAGGGTCGAATCCAGAGGATTTACTGAAATAGCAAGTGAGATGTGAGATAATGAAAGCAATCCAGTATCACTTCAAATGGGAAATCTTAGCTGGATATGTTAAGTGTGGGTGACCTGCCTGACATCTAAGTGAAGATGCTCACTGAGAGCATATGTGTGTGTGTACACAAACATACATACATACATGACTTTATAAGGGGAGAGGTCAGGACTTGATACAGAAATAGAAGAATTAACTGTTTATAGGTAATGCTTGAAATCTCCACTCAATGAGATCACAGCAAACTAAAAACTGTCTAAGAACTGGGTCATGAATACCACAACAAAGTATAAAAGTGGGGAAATGAGGAACAACTGGAAAGGGCAAAGGATTAGGGGGAAAAAATAAACAAAACCAAACCCCAAAAATCAAAAACCAGGATACTGAGAAGCCCTGACACCGGTAAACAAAGTACTTAGTGTAGAGCATCGAAAATGTCAAACAAGCTGTTCTTGGGTCAGGAGACTCAAAGGTGCTGGCCTGCAGCCTGATGACCTGAGTTAGATTCCCAGGGCCTACACTGGAAAGGAGAGAACCAACTTCAGAGAGCTGTTTTCTGACCTACACACACTGGCACATGCACAAATAAACGTAATAAAAAGCATTTTCAATGCTACTCTTGGTACAGTTAAGAGAAATGTGAACTGACTAGATGTAGCATGTGGGAGCCCGTTCTGGGGTTCCTCGTGGCTTTACCCAGCAGGTCCAAATAGAAGGATGATCAGGACCACGGGCCTGAGTGCAGGTGTCTGAGATGGTCTGCACTTGGCTGTGCTGGGGGAGAAGGTCTTTTGCTCCACCCCTTGGCGTCTCTATAAAAACC